TCAGATAATCATTTTTAACCCCAAGTCATTCGGCAGGAAGCTGTCGTTGCTGGAGCGGCGCGGTTTGCGTTACCAGCAGTACCACAGGTTATGCAATGCCTTGTCAATTGCCCTGGACCACTGCGAAAGCGCGATCGAGATCTGCGATCATGAAAACCACGTTTTGGTAAGATTCAAAGTACTGCTTTAGTATCACACTTTAAATAAGTCTAATACTGTCTTGATACGATACTATTGGTATTTGTTTTTTTCCGCAAATCGCACAGTCGAAATTATATGTAATTTTCAAATACTCCTGTTATGCTTTTGTTGGAAATCGGTTCAAGAAGGCGTAGGCAATTTTAAAAAGCAGTTTCAAACGAAATTACAGAGGACCTCGGTTCCCAGGACTATGAACAAATAGAGCATATGTATAACCATAAAATGCAATAACTGAAAATGACAGCAATAGTTGCGAAGGTTGTTTGATATATGATCAGCCGACAATCATTTATATGCAGGGGCGAGAATTCTGTTGATTTTTATTGCTGTTTTGAGCCAGAGGGTAATACTGACCGATACAACCACCTTTTGCTTAGCATTCGAGCCAGTCACACGGCTGGCCAACAAACTTGATTTTAGCCACCTGCTGCCTTAGCTGATCAAGTACGAGGTGATCACTGCAAACGGTGTTTCTTTCTCTGCCGTTATTTTGACGTTGCTTCGATCTTGCAAATCCTTTGTAAAGGCTGTTGGATTTTTTGACATTTCTGACACGTCCGTATTCAGGGTGTCGAATCGAACTTGATTTGGATCATTTTTCAGGATCAGGATCAGGATGAGCATTTTTATCAAGACCCTTTCATAAATATTTATTGCGATTGCTAGACGTCTTTTACCTATCAGTGTGATAATGGACTAGCCTAGAAGTTACTTCAAAATTTTCTAATCTCCATGCTTCACGACAGCTCGTTTGCTGGCTCACTGGTACTGGCCAACTGTAATCCACATCTGGGTTATCTGGCGAATGTAAATAAATTACAGATCACAGTTGATCTCATACACCGCATCTGTTGCGTCTTCATGTGGAATGCGGTCTTTTACCTACGTAAATAATGATTTTAGCGTCCTTTCGATATCAAAGCAACTTTCATGTTCGTCGTTACCACTTGGCTGAACAGCTCTGGAGACTCTAGTCGAAATCTCTTCCCGGCCTTTTGCCGGATTTTCTTACGTTCATATATCAAGTACATTTCTGTCTTCGTTCATATCGCCCGGCGTCAAGTTTCTTTGACGTAACAGCGGATGGTCTGCGTCTTGCGACTCGATACAGCTGTTTATCGTAAACCGCTCACACTGTTGTCTGTGCTAATTACAGACCTTCTTTAGAGCAATATGCGTAGTTTGTTGTTCTGGTCATCATTAGTCCAGTGGATATCACTGCTTGAACTCGAATTATATTTGAAATTCTTTCATTTTTGCCGTATTCGCTGACCAACATAGCCATCCGCCGGTAAGAGTCTCGTCTTCTGTAGATTAAACTGGTTTATGGCCTAAACACCGTGATCGAAAATATCGCCTGCGTCTGCGCTATGTGTTCAGATGAAAAAATTGTTATTCCGTTGTATCATGCTGTGTCTGCTGTGAGGTGCAGGCAGTTTTGAGCGTTTCACTTTCTAAACCTGATTTGGTCAACAACACAAATTGCTGACGGAGCACAACTCTTTCCGTTAAATCGCGTCTCTTCTTTTCCCTTAGTTGCCTTGGAATATTTAAACACACAAAATGGTGCAACGTGCGTCTCTAACACTCATTAGCTCCAGTACCGTTGAACCGTCGTCTTCTTAATTCCCCCCTTCTCCGTAAACAACCAGAGGCGATGATGCACTGAGTCGCGGTAGAATCAAATTTTGGACGAGTTACGCTCCAGTTTACATAACCTCACGTATGAGCATATATTCGATGTTCATATGGTGGTATATATTTCCTGTGAAATGACACATGATATCGAATTTATTACATGCATATTCTCCGACGTTTCGGATCGTGTTCGATCCGTCTTCAAAGAGAGGTATATTACAAAACAAAGTGCTACAGTGTATGCTGATGCGGACAGGTACAGAATTCATTAAAGAGGCTTTACCCTCGATAGTGAAGTTGCTCCATAATTTCGTTCCGATACGAACCTAATACCATACCGACATTTTTATTCATGCATTGGTTTGATTGAATTACCAAGGCTTCCTTTATGTACCAGTTTGAAAAATTTTTCTCTCACTGTATTCCCTTCACATGGACCCATAATATTCAGTATCGTTTTTGTTCCTCTAAGTTTTTTTTCGCGTTCCTTCTTAACCAGCTGAGGCATTTCTATTTCTCTCGCTCTTTCCCTTTTAGTGCTTCTTCACTCTGAAGCAGACCGGCATTGCAAAATCTTTTCAGGCCACCTTTTGAACCAAATTCTCGCATATAAAGTCCGTCGAGGCCGGTCCCAATCCCGGATAAGAAAAGAAGAGGAAGGAGACCGTGGCGAAGCCGCCGTGAAACTTAGCTAACTGTCTGTTCTGGTATTACCATCACTGAACATTATCCCTGCTCGTTCGTCGCCCCGGTTATAATATATCACGAAGGCTATTGAAGGACTAAAGCAGATTACAAAATGACTGCAATCGAAACTGCTCATCGCCTTCTGGCATTCGGGGGCGTACGTTACGACAACGAAGATACCAATTAACAACAGATGAAGCACACTTCGCGATGCCATCATAGCACGTCAGAAAATGCTCCATGGAACGATACCAAGGAAGTGTCATCATAGTCCGTCAGTGGAAGCTTATTCAGAGAGAAAGAGCAAGAGTTAGTTGATGATGCCGTAAGGTACCAACTCAACACAATTGTGTTCTCATCAAAGAATCGCCAAAGCTCCGAAATCCTGAACCTTTGCGGATGGAAGCTATTCTACTTTGATGTCAATACGACGATTCGTGCTCAGGCCGGTGTTCCTGTTCTGGTAAAACCCAACCTGACTGATAGAAACATTGAATGAAAGCTTATCAGCGGAAGAGTGGCAATCTTCCGACTAAGGCGTTGACCTTGTTACAGATGTATGCACTCAGTTTGTAAAGAAAATGAGTCTTTCCTTGAGGAAGTGGAATGTACTCTGTACGTAATGCCTACTACGCAGTCTCTTACTCTAGTGTGTAATTTTGATACGTGTATCGGAGCAGACACGGAAAAGTTGGAAGGCAAGGTTAGAAACAGCGACCTCAACAATAACGGCATGAAGTTGCTGCGGTTTTCTGCAACTAACGGACTGTTCATTAATAACTTCTTCGAGCATCGAAGCGTGAATCAGTGTACCTGGTATAGAAAAGTTTGTGCACAGAAGTCAATAATCGATTTGATAATTGTATCGTCTGACCTAAGACGCTCAGTAATGGAAGTTCGTGTTAAAAGAGGCGCAGAGCTATCAACCGATCACCACCTTATTGTTGCCACGCTGCGATGTAAGAAACGAAGATCTGGTGGCAGAAACAACCAAGGAAGCAGATGTAAAACA